ATTGCAAGAGATTTTCTTGTCATTCTTGAGTTGCTGGGATTGGGATTATTGTTTACCATTTTACTTGGATATTTTAATTTACATCTTCCGCATTTGCGCATCTGAGCCCAACAAGTGGTATCAGAGCTCAACTTGGGCTCTGTATCGACCAGTGTAAATTAAATGGAGGAGAACGTGGGTACCATGGTGAAGCTCACAGGAACAAATTACTCCATTTGGAAGCCAAAAATGGAGGATATACTTTCTACAAAGATCTATACGATCCTGTAGAAATAGGAGACAACAAGCCAGATGACATGAAGGATGACGATTGGAAGAAATTACACAGGAAGGCTGTCAGTTTAATCCGACAATGGGTGGATATCAGCATATTCCACCATGTTGCCACAGAGTCGAAAGCCCATACGCTGTGGAACAAAATTGAACAGATGTACCAGAGGAAGACTGCACAAAATAAAGCTTTCGTCATTAGAAAGCTTGTAAATTTAAAGTACCGGGATGGAAGATCAGTTGCAGAACACTTGAATGAGTTTCAAGACATGGTGAACCAACTTGTTACCATGGAAATGAAACTTGATGAAGAACTGCAGGCGCTGTTACTTTTGAGTTCTTTACCGGATAGCTGGGAGACTCTGGTGGTCTCGTTGAGCAACTCTGCCCCTGAGAGAAAACTGACTATGACCCAAGTCAAAGACAGTATGTTTAATGAAGAAACAAGGAGAAAAGACTCTGGGACAAGCAGTTCCCAGGCCCTGGTCACAGAAACCAGGGGGAGAAGTAAAAGCAGAGGCCGGGATAACAAATCCAGAGATAAATCACAATCTCAACCCAGGAGAAAATTCAAGTGTTATCACTGCGGTGAAGAAGGGCATACAAAAAAAAACTGCAAAGCCTGGAAGAACAGAGGTTGGAGGAACAACATATCAGAGAACGGTGAAAATACCGCAACCCCTGTGATCAATGGGGAAGTGGTGTTGCTCTCTGTTGAAGAATAAGAGTGTCACCTTGCAGATTCATGTGTTGAATGGGTCATTGACTCAGCAGCATCATACCATGCAACCTCTCACAAGGAATTCTTTTCTCTATACAAAGAAGGAGACTTTGGTAGAGTAAAGATGGGCAACAACAGCATTGCAAATATTGTGGGAGTTGGTGATGTGTGCATTCAAACTGATATTGGGTGCACAATAACACTGAAGGACGTACGACATATACCAAACTTACGTCTGAATCTGATCTCTGTGCATGCATTGTATCTAGCAGGCTATACTAACAGTTTTGGTAATGGCACGTGGAGGCTTACCAAAGGATCGTTGTTAGCTGCTAGAGGTACAGTGAGATCGACACTGTACAGAACTCAAGTGAAGCTGATCAAGGGTGGATTGAATGCAGTCGAAGATGATGCTTCGTCAAATTTGTGGCACAAAAGACTGGCTCATATTGGTGAAAAAGGATTACAAATTTTGGCAAGAAAGTCCCTTATCCCATTTGCTAAAGATTCAAAACTGAATCCTTGTGATTATTGTCTCTTTGGGAAGCATCATAGAGTGTCTTTCAGCAAAACCTCGAAGCTGAAAGAGAATGTGTTGGAGATGGTGTATTCTGATGTATGTGGACCCATGGAAGTTGAGAGTCTCGGTGGTAGCAGATATTTCGTGGCGTTTATTGATGATGCCTGACGAAAATTGTGGGTGTATTTCTTAAGAACGAAGGGTGAAGTGTTTCAGTATTTCAAAAGGTTTCATGCTATGGTGGAGAGACAGACTGGTAAACCTTTGAAGTGTCTTCGCTCAGATAATGAGGGGGAGTATACTTCCCATGAATTCAAGAATTATTGTGCCGAGCATGGCATCAGGCATGAGAAGACTGTACCTGGAACCCCACAACATAATGGTGTGGCTGAAAGAATCAACAGAACCATTATGGAGAAAGTGAGGTGTATGTTAAGAATGGCTAAACTACCTAAGCCATTCTGGGGTGAAGCTGTTCTAACGGCGTGCTACCTTATCAACCGATCTCCATCTGTTCCTTTGGGCTTTGATATCCCCGAGAGAGTATGGTCCGGACATGATGTTAAATACTCTCATTTGAAGGTGTTTGGATGCAAAGCTTTTGCTCACGTAAGCAAGGAACAGAGACGAAAACTTGACGATAAAGCCATTCCTTATATATTTCTGGGCTATGGAGATGAGGAATTTGGCTACAGGTTATGGGATCCAGAAAATTGAAAAATTATGAGAAGCAGAGATGTAGTGTTCCATGAGCAAGAAACTATGTCTGATTCTGCTTCACCAGAAATCAGAGAACCAAGTGGAAAGGTGGATCTTTCACCTGTCAAACCTCCTGGAGATGCCACAGCAGGGGAAGAGTGTGATGGAGAACTCAGGGTTGATGTTGAGCCAACAATAGAAGATGGCGGTGGTGAAGGTGTCAAGCAGGAAGATCTCGAAGCTCCACCTCAGCTCAGGAGATCAAATCGAGCGATCCAACCGTCTACAAGATACCCTAGTTCCACATATATTACCATCACTGAAGAATGAGAGCCAGAAAGCTTTGAAAGAAGTACAAACTCATAAGGATAAATCCCAGTGGATGAAAGCCATGCAAGAAGAAATGGATTCACTGATGAAAAATGAGACTTATGAGCTTGTGAAGCTTCCAAAAGACAGAAAAGCCTTGAAGAATAAATGGGTGTTCAAGCTTAAGAAAGATGGTGACAAGCTGTTGAAGTACAAGGCTCGCTTAGTTGTGAAAGGATTTGGACAAAAACGAGGAATATACTTTGATGAGATATTCTCTCCGGTTGTTAAGATGAACTCTATTCGAGTAGTACTCGGATTGGTGGCTAGCTTGGATCTGGAGCTTGAACAACTAGATGTGAAGACTGCATTTCTTCATGGAGACCTAAATGAAGAAATCTACATGGAACAACCAGAAGAATTTGAGAAGACTGGAAAGGAGCACATGGTCTGCCGATTGAAGAAGCGCCTGTATGGACTGAAACAAGCTCTTAGACAGTGGTATAAGAAGTTTGACTCGTTTATGGCAAGTCATGGATATACCAAGACTGATGCAGATCATTGTGTGTTCGTTAAGAAATTTCCAGGTGATAGATTCATTATCCTTTTGCTATATGTAGATGATATGTTGATATTGGGATAGGATATGAAGCTGATTGGTGATTTGAAGAAGGAATTAGCAAAGTCCTTTGAAATGAAGGATTTGGGCCCTACGAAACAAATTTTGGGCATGCAGATCAAGCGAGACCGAAAATCCAAGAGGTTATGGTTATCGCAAGAACAATATGTGAATCGAATTCTGGAGAGATTCAACATGAAATCGGCTAAGTCAGTCAATACACCGTTGGCCAATCATTTTAAGCTCAGCAAACAAAGTTGTCCTAAGAGTCAAGAAGAAAAAGAAGCTATGGCGGGTGTTCCATACTCCTCGGAAGCCGGGAGTTTGATGTATGCCATGGTCTGTACTAGACCAGATATCGCTCACGCGGCTGGAATTGTTAGCAGGTATCTTTCCAATCCTGAAAAGGATCATTGGGAAGCTGTGAAGTGGATCTTGAGGTACCTAAAAGGCAGTGCAAATAAGTCCTTGAGCTTCGGAAAAGGAAAACCAGTTCTTGAAGGTTATACAGATGCGGATATGGCAGGTGACGTGGATAGTAAAAAATATACTTCAGGGTTTGTGTTTACATTTGCAGGAGGAGCTGTATCTTGGCAATCTAAATTGCAGAAATCTGTTGCCTTGTCAACTACTGAAGCAGAGTATATTGCTATGACAGAAGCAGGCAAAGAAATGCATTGGTTGAAGAGGTTTCTTCAACAATTGGGAATGAAGCAGGAAAGGTACGATATCCATTGTGACAGTCAGAGCGCATTGGATTTGAGTAAGAATGCGATGTACCACTCTCGCACGAAGCACATTGATGTCAGATATCATTGGCTAGTCAAGTAGTGGAAGAACAACAGTTCAAGTTGAAAAAGATTCACACTGACGAAAATCCTGCTGACATGATGACGAAAGTTGTAACAGGGGGAAAGCTTCAGCTCTGTGTCGAGTTGATCGACATGGAATGCATGTGAGATTTGCAGAATATTTCCCTTTGGATGGAGGGGGAGAATTGTAGATCCAGCCACGTGAAGGTGCAAAATAACAACAAAAGAAAAGGAATCTAATGAGCTGCCCATATGAAAGAAAAGAGCTGAGAAAGAGCCTTCATTTGTTCACATTCAGTCTTTTACTCCTATAAATAGGGAGGTATTCTTCTGAAGAATATGCACCAAGCGAGAGAGAAAAAGAAACTGAAAGAAAAAAAGAGAGAAGAAATAACATCTTGTGAGTGTTATTTTTCAGTGAGATAAAAATAGAGTGTTTGAGTAAATCCTGTGAGTGTGGGAAAAATACACCGGGTTGGGTATCAACTCTATTACTCTTTGTTTAGGAGTGGGGTCTCACTGGGTCACTATATTTTACATTTCTAGTGTAAGGGAGTGTGAAAAGATATTGTAATTATCTTGAAAATATAGTGGAATTGTTCGGAGGTTGTCCCGTGGTTTTTTCCTCTATTTGGAGGGTTTTCCACGTTAAATCTTGGTGTCTTATTTCTTGCATATTTTATTTATTTGGGATATTCTTAGTATGCTCTGTGGTCGCAGTTTAATCTGAACTTCCACATCAGAAAAGAATTATTCCGGTTTTATTGCAAGAGATTTTCTTGTCATTCTTGAGTTGTTGGGATTGGGATTATTGTTTACCATTTTACCTGGATATTTTAATTTACATCTTCCGCATTTGCGCATCTGAGCCCAACATTTTTTTCCTCTCTTTTTTTGTAAGAAAAGTCCTAAATTCTCACATTTTGAGTGTATATATTATGAAATTTATTCACCAGTAGACATCATTAGAAAAAAACCTCCCTGCATGTATTCATGGTTTTTTCCCACTCTTCTTTTAGCGGTATAAGTGGTGTTGCAAAAGTATGGACCATGCCCGACGTAAAAAAGGTGTCCTCGCTAAAAGGACATACAGAACGAGCCACGGATGTTGCATTCTCCCCCATCAACCACCAATTGGCGATTGCCTCAGCCGACCGGACTGCAAGACTATGGAATCACGATGGGTCGGCCCTCCGAACGTTCGAGGGCCACTTGGACCGTCTCGCCCGCATTGCCTTCCACCCATCCGGAAAATACTTAGGCACGGCTAGCTTTGACAAGACTTGGAGATTATGGGATGTGGATACTGGTGAGGAGTTGCTCTACCAGGAGGGCCATAGTAGGAGTTGTAAACTTCATTAAGGATCTTGAATAAATAATTTGTGTGTATACGAAACACTTACTTGATGCGGAAGACGACATAATTTGTGATCTTGATCTTGATGATCACACGAGGTTGAATTAAGTGTTAGATCTAAATCAGTTTCTCCCTCCTGGCCTTCTCTTAATGTAGCAGAAAAATTGATGGGAAAAATACTGCGTACCCTAATAGGAGGAGAGAGGACCAATTTATATAGGGGTGTCTTTAGATCTGGTACGTCCATCAAATATCCAGATTAATGGCTTAGATTTGTTTGACTATTAAATAAAGGCCAGCCCAATAGGATAATTAATTGTGAGCCCAATGCTTTCGGGCCACATATTCTTACATTCTCCCACTTGGTCCGAAAGCCCATAATTTAATAGTATAACTTTAGGTGCACATAAACAAATCTCGTTATGCCATACATCATAATAAACTATGACATGATAAACCATATAGTGAGAGTTATGGCGGTTGTACACTCTCGATTCGCATACTTCCTTCCATATACTACTACACTAATAGTTCAACACATCAAGTTCCATAATTATATATAAATATCATAAGGTCCACTTAATTGTCATGAAGACATTCATTTCTTGTTCTAAACATAATGTATACAAAATCATAATGAACAAGAAATTCGATAATAGTCAGAAACATAACATCAATGAGCTCAAGAGTGTGCCATAACATCATCATAATCAATCATCAATACAACCAAGACCCATTCTATGTACATGTTCTTTGAATGTCTTTGGTTGTAGACCTTTAGTCAACGGATCGGCAATCATAAGATCCGTTCTTATATGTTCAATGCACACTCTTTGTTTCTGAACTTCCTCCTTAACGGCAAAATACTTTAATTCCATGTGTTTTGCACCCTTGGAATATTTGTCGTTTTTGGAGAAGAAAACTGCTGCGGAATTATCACAATACAATTTCAGCGGCTTGGTAATGGTGTCGACAACCCCAAGTCCCGAAATAAAGTTCCGCAGCCATAATGCATGAATTGTAGCCTCAAAACAAGCCACAAATTCAGCCTCCATAGTAGATGCAGCTATGACAGACTGCTTGGCACTTTTCCATGAAATTGCTCCATCGGCAAGGAGAAAAACATAGCCAAACGTTGACTTGCGACTGTCAAGGCATCCAGCAAAATCTGAATCTGAATATCCAATCACCTCAAGGCGATCAGATTTCCTAAATGTGAGCATATGATCCTTCGTCCCTTGAAGGTATCTCATCACTTTCTTTGCATCTTTCCAGTGATCCAATCCAGGATTACTTTGATATCGGCCAAGCATCCCAACAGCGAAGCTAATATCAGGCCTCGTGCAAGTTTGCAAGTACATCAAACTGCCCACAACAGAAGCATATGGAATTGATTCCATACTCTTTCGTTCCACATCATTCTTAGGACATTGCATAAGACTAAACTTGTCCCCTTTCTGTAATGGGACAACACTTGGTGAACAATTGTTCATACTAAATCTCTCAAGAATTTTCTCGATATATGCTTTCTGAGACAACCCCAACAATCCTTGTGATCTATTCCGGAATATTGAAATTCCAATCACATAGGATGCCTCTCCCATATCTTTCATTTCAAAATTCTTTGAGAGAAAATCTTTAGTCTCATGCAAAATTCCCAAATCATTAGCAGCAAGTAGGATATCATCAACATACAGAACCAAAAATATAAACTTACTCCCACTGATCTTCTGGTAAATACACCGATCAACAGTGTTCTCTTGAAAACCAAAAGACGTGATGGTATCATTAAACTTAATATACCATTGTCTGGAAGCTTGTTTAAGTCCATATATTGACTTCTTAAGTTTACACACCATGTGACCCTTTCCTTCTATGGAAAAACCTTCGGGTTGATCCATATAAACTTCCTCATCTAAGTCCCCATTAAGAAAGGCCGTTTTCACATCCATTTGATGTAACTCTAAATCATACTGAGCTACTAAAGCCATAATGATCCTCAAGGAATCTTTCTTAGAAACAGGTGAAAAAGTCTCCTTATAATCAATGCCATCTTTCTGAGTATAACCCTTGGCAACAAGTCTAGCTTTATGTCGTTCGATATTGCCACTCGAGTCGCGTTTGGTCTTAAAGACCCACTTACACCCAACTCGTTTTGAACTTTCTGGCAATTCTACTAGATCCCAAACATTGTTTTTAGCCATAGAGTTTAATTCTTCTTTCATAGCATCAATCCATTTATGAGACAAGTCACTGTTAATGGCTTGTGAAAACGAAACAGGATCTTCACCAATGCTAGTATCATAATCCAACTCTTGCAAATAAACCACATAATCATCCGAAATAGCAGATCTTCTCACCCTTGTAGGTTTGCTTAAGGCTATTCCTCGTGGTTCATTTATATTAGTTGGCGGCAAGTTAGTCTCTTCATGGGGTGCTACTTCATCCAAATTTTGTCCACCATTATTTTGTGGTTGTGGAACAATATTTGGTACAACTGTGGATATTGGAACATTAATGGGTAATGGAACATCAACCCTTATTTCATTAATTTCCACAGTCTCTTTAGCACTCCCACTAACTTCATCATTTTCAATAAATCTAGCATTGCCCGTTTCAACGATTCTAGAACTATGATTAGGACAGTAAAACATATACCCTTTGGACTTCTCTGGGTAACCAATAAAGTAACCACTCACAGTTCGAGAATCCAATTTCTTTTCATGTGGGTTGTATACTCGTGCTTCTGCCGGACAACCCCAAACATGCAGGTGTCTTAAACTGGGTTTCCTTCCAGTCCATAACTCAAAAGGAGTTTTAGGAACTGCCTTACTAGGAATCCTATTTAGCAGATACACGGCAGTCTTAAGTGCATACATCCACAAAGATTTGGGTAATGATGTATTACTTATCATACTCCTAACCATATCAATTAATGTTCTATTTCGCCTTTCTGCTACACCGTTTTGTTGAGGTGTGCCTGGCATAGTATACTGTGCACATATGCCATGTCTTTCAAGGAACTTAGCAAATGGACCGGGATTTTGTCCCGATTCATCATACCTTCCATAGTATTCACCACCTCTATCAGACCTTACTATTTTCACCTTTCTGTCTAACTGCCTTTCAACTTCATTAATGAAAACCTCAAGTGCATTTGCAGCTTGAGATTTTTCCTTGAGCAGATAGACATAACCATAACGTGAAAAATCGTCTATAAAGGTAATGAAATACTTTTCTCCATTAAAAGATGGAGCATCAAAAGGGCCACATATATCGGTGTGTATAATTTCAAGAAGCTGACTACTTCTTGTGGCTCCTTTCTTGTTATGTTTGCTTTGCTTTCCCTTAATGCAATCCACACACAACCCAAGATCAGTAAAATCTAGATCCAAAAGAATCTTATCTTTCACCAACCTTTGCATTCTTTCTTTGGATACATGACCCAAACATTTATGCCACAAGAAAGCAGAGTTCTCATTCGCTACACCACGTTTAATTCCAATGTTTTGATGAACACACATTAAAGATGCAGAAAAATCAACATCAAGTTTCAGTTTATATAAACCATCCATAAGAATTCCAGAACCAATAACGGAATCATGTTTATCAAACAAACTGAAACATCCATGTCCAAACTTAAAGGAAAACCCAAGAACATCAAGTCTAGAAATAGACATTAAGTTTCTAGAAAATGAAGGTACATAGAGAGTTTGTAAAAGATCCAGGTGGTGCCCGGAATCTAAAACAATACGATAAGTCCCTATTCCTTCAATTGGGCCTTCATACGGTTCCCCATAAACAAGAAGTTCTCATTTGGGTTTATGCTCTGGATTGTAAGAAATCCCTGCATCACATTAGAAACATGAGTTGTAGCACCAGAATCCAACCACCAAGTATTTGAAGGAACTTCAGACAAGTTTGATTCGAAACATACAAAGATATTAGAAATACCTTTCTTTTCAAACCAAGACTTGCGTTTCAGGCAATCTTTCTGTACGTGACCTTCTTTTCTACAGAAATAACATTTATTTGCCCGACTTTCCTTCTTTTCATCATTAGTGACCTGTGATACTTTAGCAGGTCCTTTCTTCTTAAACTTGTTGGATTTCGGTTTGAGAACATCATTAGCTCCTCGACCCACAAGGTTGACTGTATGAACTCCTTGTGCCTTAAGTCTCGTCTCCTCCTGAACAAGCTTACTGGCCAACTCATTAACATCCCACTTATCCTTAATAGTGTTATAGTTAATTTGAAAAGGCCCATATTCAGGAGGCAACGAGTTAAGCATAAATTGCACCAGAAATGAGTCATCTACAGTCATGCCCAGGGACTTAAGCCTTGCTGCAAGATTAGTCATGTCAAGAACATGTTGCTGCATACTACGCGACCCATCATACTTTTTGGTCGTGAGTTCAGCCATAAGTGTTCCTGCCAATGACTTATCCGCGGAACGAAAACGCTCTTCCACAAGCAAAAGATATGCTTTTGCATCCACATTATCGGGAAGAGTTGACTTAATGTTGTTGGCAATCGTCATTCGCATAAAGCTCAAACATAATCTGTTAGACCTGTCCCAAGCCTTACGGTTTGATTTCTCAGCCTCACTGCTTTGATCATTAATGTCAGCGGGCTTTTCTTCAAGCAGAGCCAAGTCAATATCCAAAACACCTAAATGGAAATTGACTTGCTCACGCCATTCAGAGAAATTCAAACCATTGAAGACAGTAACAGAAGAAGCTTGCGAATGAAGAGAGATAGCTGCACAATCATAAAAGCTCACTTAATTAATATATTCAGAAATCATTCATAAAATATATTGCAGGTCTCCTTTGGGTAAACACAACAATATATATCATTGTCATAAGTCAAATGTCATTTAACACTTAATGAGAAATTAAATAAACTTCGCCTAACATACATAGTATCTTTGGATATCTACATACGCTCGACAAAGGACATTATATTTCTCCTTAATGTTTATTAGTTATAGAACATTGATTCACCTTTGGGTAAATCCATAATTTCTAACAACCAATAAACTCATTATCTTAAATAATGACATTCTTAAGAGAACATAAGTTATATGACCAAACATTAGAAAATTAATCCGGCCACTTTGGCGACTAACAAATTAATTTTCACTTAATGTCATATAATAAACAATTGTAACAATAATATTATATGACCGGACATTAAAAATTAATTAGGCCACTTTGGTGACTAACAAATTAATTTTATCTTAATGTCATATAATAAAACTTCATAACGATAAATTATATGACAGAACATTAAAAATTAATTAGGCCACTTTGGTGACTAACAAATTAATTTTGTTTTAATGTCATATAATAACAAATAATTATAATGTTAACAAACCAACCATTATAATTCATAAGTATAATGGGAGTTTGTCAACTCAATCATCATCATCCAAAACACATAAATTTCAATTAGGTACAACATGTTTGTTCCCAGATCAAATAGATGTCATTAAACCATACTCAACCATGAAACAAAATTTCGTGAGTCATGGATACTTACAGCCTCATCATATATAGCAATTACTTACAGCTTAATGAAAACTTTATGGGAAATTAAAAAACACAGCAACATTGATTTTCATGGAACTAATTCAACAAAACAATCATGATTATTTGTGTGGTTCCAGACATCAAATATTCTTTCTTTATTTTGATCTTTGAACATATATTAACATGCGCATATTGATGCGGAAACGGAATATATCAAACATAATGATGCAAACAGATCAGATGACCGAACACAATCAAACATAATTAAATATCGGAGATGACAATATTATTCCGATATCACACAACCGAATAGATCAGTACACGTTAAATTATTTATCCACAACACATGCTCTGATACCACATGTAAACTTCATTAAGGATCTTGAATAAATAATTTGTGTGTATACGAAACACTTACTTGATGCGGAAGACGACATAATTTGTGATCTTGATCTTGATGATCACACGAGGTTGAATTAAGTGTTAGATCTAAATCAGTTTCTCCCTCCTGGCCTTCTCTTAATGTAGCAGAAAAATTGATGGAAAAAATACTGCGTACCCTAATAGGAGGAGAGAGGACCAATTTATATAGGGGTGTCTTTAGATCTGGTACGTCCATCAAATATCCAGATTAATGGCTTAGATTTGTTTGACTATTAAATAAAGGCCAGCCCAATAGGATAATTAATTGTGAGCCCAATGCTTTCGGGCCACATATTCTTACAGTAGTGTGTATGGAATATCTTTCCATAAAACCATGGCTCTTTAGCGGCTCCATGTGGGCTCGATTCTCTTGCTCGTGTGTGGGACCTTAGGTCCGGGAAAAGTATTCTCGCTTTTGAAGGGCATGTGAAGCCGGTAAGGCTGTTGTGATGTTTTGACTCGACTTTTTTGTGTTAATTTACAGAAACCGCCTTTGGGGTTTTACTGTAGTTAAAAGTACAAATAATGCCTTGAGTTTGTTACTTTATTTATTTTAAAGAATAATTTCTAATTTTTTAGTGCTTATTTGAGTTATGCCAAACCACATGGTAGTAATTATTGTGAAAGTTCTTTGAAATAATGAAAATTCGGTTTTTGTTTTCAGGCTCTAGCTGTAAGTTTCTCTCCCAATGGCTATCACTTGGCCACCGGTGGTGAAGACAACACTTGCAGGATATGAGATTTGAGGAAGAGGAAATCTTTATACATAATACCCGCTTATTCTAACCTTATTTTACAGGTCAAATTTGAGCCTCAGGAGGGCTACTTTCTGGTTACGGCTTCGTATGATATGACTGCTAAGGTATATGGATACATTTTATAATAAACCCTTTAGCATACACATGTTATATGATTTATGAACTGTCTTTAAATTGTCATTTTCTTTCTTCAGATCTGGTCTTCTAGGGATTTTAAGCCTGTGAAGACACTGTCCGATCATGAATCAAAAGTTACATCATTGGATATCGTCGGAGGTTAGTTTCTCTCTCTGTGTGTGTGTGTGGCAAAAAGACTCATTTTCTTAATTATTTTGTGACAGATGGACAGTGCATTGCGACTGTTTCTCATGACCGAACGATCAAGCTATGGTCGGCTAGAGAATCTGAGAAAGAGAAGGATATGGAATTCGACTAGCTTTGGGTGCGACATTTTCTACTTTAAATTCATTTCGAGGACCTCTATTGCATGGAAGAAAACTGGGGTTGTCTTCTCAAATAGAGAAATTATTGTTGCGAGATAAAGGTACCGTTATGTCCTAAATGAGATTGTGCTGTAGTATCACTAAGCATGAATTACGAATGTACTGGTCTGGTTTTTTCTGTATGACACCCTTTTGTGACTTGGAAGTTATATTTTTCTTTCATGTTTAGAAAAATCAGTCTCTGATATTTTTTATTTTTCAGAAAAAAAAGGAGGAAGAAAAATTATTGTCGAACCGAACAATTTTTGTCGTTTCAGATGTAATTTTCGCAAATTAAATGTCTTTATTAGAATTGATTTTTACTATTTGTTTTGGTTTTTTATATATCTGTTTATTCGAAGAAACTAATATACCAACTGTAGTCATTCCAAAGAAACTGTTTATTGTTTTTTACTATTTTTATCACTTCCATTGTTGATGAATTAGGTAAACTTTCCTCAACAAATTTCAATTTGGTGTTATTATAAGTTATACTTGTATTTAACCTTTGAGATTATATTGTGTAACAAAGTCTTACCACACACACAAACACAAGCATTGCCCTCTATAAGTGACTGACATTTCAAGTCATTAATTCAGGTTGCTCCTATTCCTATACGTACCACAACATCATAGCTTGGCATCACAATTCACAACCCTTATCCATTAGGTGTACAAACAGTGCCCTACACATATATTTTTGCAACCCAAATAAAAAGTCGTTTTCTCAAAAGATGGTATTGTTTTGACAAAGTCATGTTATCCGATTCGGCACGTGTTATTTTGTTCACCAAATATGTGGCAGAATGATATATAATTGAATATCACGATATCTTCACAAATGTTGGATATGTTGTTATTGTGTATAATGTGTATTTACAATATTAATTTTAGGTTATCTTTCTGTATGTGTAGCCCTAATTGTGTGTATATATACTTGGTTAATAGAGTTATTGTATCATCCGATTGAGATGAGTTTATCTTTCTGTATGTGTAGCCCTAATTTTGTGTATATATACTTGGTTAATAGAGTTATTGTATCATCCGATTGAGATGATTTCAGTATAAACTTTGTCTCGTCTCTCTCGTATCATGGTATCGGAGCCTGATCACAAAATTTTTTCTGTCAATTCTCATTGCCTTCGTCTCGGGTTCCTCGCACATCTTTTTATATGATTACGAGCAACTGCTCCAGCCTGCAGTAGCAAAATTGGATTTTGTTAACTATGATCTCGCAACATCGCTTTGTCAAAAACAAAAACAAAAACAAAAACGAAAAACAAAAGAAAAATTGATTATTGCAGCCCATAACAAACCTCATTCACAACTCGACCGTCGCTGTTTTCCAGTCCAGTCCAGGTCCACGTGTCTCGGTTTTTGTCCACCATCATGGCCTTCGTCGTTATCTCGATTGAGACACCTTACGACCTTCGTCCACCGTCAAGGCCCTCGCCATTATCTCGATTGAGACGCCTTTACTGTTCGTATCCGCACGATCTCGTCTCGGCCCACATCTAGAGTAGGTTGCGACATCGTTGTACCATCTCGTTTCGCTCACATCCCGACTTGCGTACACCTTCGACGGACCCATGGCAGATTCTTTGACATCGGTCGGGTCAGACGTAGCCGAAGGTAGCGCCGAACTTGCTGGGAATCGTGTTGGTGGTCGTTTCAAGTGCTCTTATTGTGGCCAAATGGGTCATCTTGCCACTACTTGCTTTGAGATTATTGGGTATCCGAAATGGTTCGGTTCTAGTAGTGGCCGCAGTTATAATTTTGGTGGTGGCCGCCGTGGTGGAGCTCACGACGAGTGGTGCTTATGCAAATGCGGCGTTCTCTAGTGGTATCGGTGATTCGTTTGTTTCCTGTTATGTTGGTTCTTCTACTGCTAGTGGAGTTTGGAGTGATTTTGATCGTCTTGCACTTGGCGGTTTAACTAATGAACGATGGGTTCACTTTGTGTTTTTGGTTAAATCCGCTAAACAAAATAATCCCTTGTCGGATACGCGTGGTTTAATTGATTGGATGTACGACTGTGGGGCAACTCATCGTATGACAGGGTTCCTAGAGTTTATTTTCGATGTTCGGGATATTCCCGCCCATCAGTTCAATTGTCTAATGGTTCATTAACAATGGCTAGCAAGGCCGAGACAATTTATTTGGGATCTCATATCACTCTTTATGATGTTTTATATGTTCCCAGCCTTCGGTGCAACTTGACATTATATCAATTGCTGGATCGTTCCAACTGTAACGCTTAATTTACTAGCAAATTATGTGTTATTCATGACCGCACTTCGCTGAAGGTGATTGGCGCGAGTGAGCAGTTGGGCAGTCTTTACTTCTTTCGAGGGGCGTTTTCGACGGCAGTTTCTTGTGTTCAGAAGGTTTCTGCTAACGTTTGGGACATCAGTCTGCTCAAGTATTATTCCAGGTTGCTGTTATAGATTCGAGTTCTCGTAATTTGCATATATCGTGTGATGCTTTTTTGCGTGCTAAACAACATCATCGTAGTTTTCCTCTGAGTCGGACTCTTAGTCACGGGACTTTTCATTTGATTCATTATGATTTGTGGGGTTCATATCGTGTTCCGTCCTTCTGTGGTGCACGATATTTTTTATTCTTGTGGATGATTATTCTCATGGGACATGTATTTTATTTATTGAATGATATGACAGACGTTGCTTCCACATTGCTGATTTTCTTTTCTATGATTAAGCGACAATTTGATAAATTGGTGCGTGTTGTTCTTACTGATCATAAAGTGATTTTGCATGTGACTTCTAGCGTAGGTAACCCTCAGTAGAATAGCTGTGTGGAACACTAACATCAATATATTCTCTGTTTAGCTCGTGTTTTATATTTCCAGGCTCATCTGCCTCTTCCTTTTTGGGGTCATTGTGTTTTGACTGCGGTTTATCTGATAAATTGGACTCCTTCTTCGGTTTTACATGGTAAAACCCCATATGAGATTATTTATGGTTCGGCTTCTTACTTGTCTCATTTGCGGGTTTTTGTTTGTATTTGTTATGCTCATAACCAAGATCGTCTTGGTGACAAGTTTGCTGCTCGGAGTCGTCGTTGTCTATTTGTTGGTTACCCGTTTGACAAAAAGGGGTATAGTCTGTATGATTTGGATCGTCAAATTTTCTTTGTCTCTCGTGATGTGGAGTTTCTTAAAATTGAATTTTCATATCAGTCACACTTGTCTGAGCTAGATTCTTTGCCACCGCCTCTTGTTATGTCGGTATCTTATGCGCTGGATGATGATAAAGATCTTCCGGTTGTTTCTTTGCCTTACATTTCTCATGATATTGGGTCTTCTACTACTGATATAGAACGTCTGACGACAAAGAGGGTTATGTTACCATTACCTCTCCCACTCTTCTTGTGGAGCCCTTGGGTCGTGGTCATCGAACTAAGGTTCATTTTACTCGGCTGAAGGATTTTGTGGTTGACACTGTCAGGCCCTCGATCGTATCACCCACTACTTCTCCCCAATCATATCCATCCTTCGGTACGCCTCATTCTATAGAACATTATGTTTCTTGTGATTCATTCTCTCCAGCTCATCGAGCCTTTTTAGTTAATGTCACCTTCGCTGCTGAGCCTCGCACTTTTGCTGATACCATGAATGATACTCGATGGCGAGCCGCTATGGAGGATGAGATTCGTGCCTTGGATAATAATGGCACGTGGGATGTGATTTCTCTTCCATTTGGAAAGCGTGCGATGGGGTGCAAGTGAGTCTTTAAGATCAAACATAAGTCCGATGGTATCGTTGAGCGCTGTAAAGCGCGTCTGGTGATTTTTGGCAATAATCAGGTGGAAGGTATTGACTATCATGAGACGTTTACTCTGTTGCTAAAACGATTACAATCATGTTATTCTTGGCCGTGGCTACTGCTAAGCATTGGGAAGTTCACTAGATGGATATTCACAATGTTTTTCTTCACAGTGATTTAACTGAGGAGGTTTACATAAAGTTTTCCCCCCGGTTTTCGCTCTGGCGTTAATGGAAAAGTTTTTCATTTTCTTCATTCTCTCTATGGTTTAAAGCAGGATCCCTGCTGCTGGTTTGCCAAGTTGGATACAACATTGAAGGAGTATGGTTTTTGTCAGTCCTATCATGATTACTCTCTTTTTACACTGCACGGGGTTCTATCTATCTGCTGGTCTTGGTCTATGTTGATGATCTGATTGTCTCCGGGAATGATCCGACTTCCATTATAGCGTTCAAAAGTTATCTAAGTCGTTGTTTTCACATGAAGGACCTTGGGTTGATAAAGTATTTTAGAGGTATCGAGGTAGCCCAAAATTTCTAGCTTTTTTCTTTGTTAGCAGAAGTATGATCTTGACATCATTGCTGAGGTCGTACTGCTAGGGAGTTAGCTCGCTGATTTTCCGTTGGAACAGAATCATCAGTGTAACACCCCGCCTTTCTAACTTTGACTCACGAAAAACTGGGTAAAAATTTCTAGGTTGTTTTCGAAAGATACTGTTACTGGTTTCGAAAAACACTTATACTTACCTTGTAGGATGCTACTTACTTACTGGCTTGACTTACTCTTTCTGTTACTTATCCATATAACCCAAATCAACATATAAATTCCTACTAGGGAAATACGGATAAGAGAAAATTAAACATGCATACATACTGGTTCTGGGTTAGCAATATGGAAGCGTAAATAAGTACAGTACAGTCTGAAATTATCTTAACACAGGCCAACATAAACATAAACATAAATAAATGTCCAACTATCTTCGGACACCACCACACCACTCCATCACCTAAAAAGATAATAGTGGGGGCGTGGGCACAAAGTAACTCAACGGTGTTCCGCAGAAACCAACACTGAATATACAACACATGTAATCAATATTATGAACTCAACATATACATAAATAGAACTGTACTGTAGTAGCGCAACATCCAAAAACTGGCCAGATTATC